ACTGTGGGGTCCTTGGTGCTCCCGGAGCTTGCTGGTTTTCTGGCAGACGTTTCATTACCCAACTAGGGAACATCATCAGTGCTGGAAGGGAGGAGGAGGAGGAGGAGGAGGAGGAGGATGGTGGGATCCTTGTTGCTCTCTTGAGCATGCTGGTTTTCGGGCAGACGTTTCACAACCCAACTAGGGAACACCATCAGTGCTAGAAGGGAGTGGGGTTACTCTCTCTTTCTACACCGTCCATCCTGAGAGTCGATATCAGGGCATCATAAAGTCACCAAAGGCTGAGAACGATTCTGATAAATGACTCTCCTTATCAGCAACCATGAATCTCAACCGCTGAGAGGCAACAGCAGAAAAGCGGGGTCAACGTTCTCCTGCGGGAGACACGGAGAGCTTCCAAACTGTGAATTGGGCTGGCGCCATTCCACACTCAACCAACACACACACACACACACACACACACACACGGCTCAGCCCTTGAACCTTTTTAATCCCGCAAATGGGGAGCGCTTTACGGGGAAACCTCACCTCTCTGTAGCATCTCCCGGGTCTTCGTTTTCGGAAGCTGGATGAACATGGTCCCGAAGCAAACCGTGGCTTTGTCTGAAAGCAGGAAAAGAAAGCTTGTTTTAATCTGAAGCATCAATTTGTGTAATTTGAAAAAACAAAACGGTTCCTGCTTTGAAATCTCGGAAGCCTCTTGGAGCAGGAACCTGAAAACCCTCCAGAGGTGGCTGAACTACAAGACCCAGCAGCCTCAGCGGCAGCTGGTCGACAAAATGGCTCTTTGCTCCTGGGGTTGGTTATCATGGTGTCGTCATACAGGGCCATAGAGGGTCTCCATCTTAATAATGATAATAATAATGACAAAGTAGCAACAATGGTGCATTGGAAGATCTGCAAGAAATATCATTTGCCTGCAAGCCAGAACTGGTAGGATCATAAAATAGAGAAAGTCATAGAAAATGATAAAATTAAACTGCTCTGGGACTTCAGAATTCAAACAGACAAGCACCTGCAACGTAACACCCCGGACTTAACAATTGTCGATAAGAAAGACAAAAAAAGTCTGGATAGTGGATGTGGCAGTGCCTGGAGACAGCAGAATAGAGGAGAAAGAACTGGAGAAGATCACAAAATACAAAGACCTACAAATAGAAATAGAAAGACTGTGGCAAAGGCAAGCAAGGGTAGTACCAATAGTAATAGGCGCCTTGGGTGCAATCCCAAAACAACTGGAGCACCACTTGAGCACCATCATCGGCATTGACAAATTCGCCATTAATCAATTGCAAAAGGCGGCCTTACTAGGAACTGCTTCCATCCTGCGACGAGATCTGTAATACCATCAAACATCCACATCCGCCTATCCCAGGTCCTGGGTAAGGACTCGATAGGTAGACAAAAATGACAAATCCAGTCTGAATATCTGGCTGACTGTGCGATGATCCATAATAATAATACTACAGAATGCAGAATACATCAAGAAACTGCAGCTTCCTGCAATAACTCCAGCAATGTTACAAAAAACTGCGCTACTCGGAACATCTTACATTTTGAGGAGGTATCTGGTTGACACCTAGGATGTTGGCAGAAAGAGAAAGAGAAAAAAGAACACAGAAAGAGAAAATGAGACGAAGAGGAAGAGAAAAAGAAGTGAAAGAGAGAACAGAGAAAGAAAGAAAGAAAGAAAGAAAGAAAGAAAGAAAGAAAGAAGGAAGGAAGGAAGGAAGGAAGGAAGGAAGGAAGGAAGGAAGGAAGGAAGGAAGGAAGGAAGGAAGGAAGGAAGAGAAAGAGAGAGGGAGGTAAAGGAGAAAGAAAAAGAGGGAAAGAGGAGAGAGAAAGCAAGAAACAGGAAAGGAGAAAGAGAGAGAGAGAGAGACAGAAAGAGAGAGAGGAATGGAGAAGAAGGAAGAGAGAAGGAAGAGAAAAAGAAGAGAGAGAGAGAAGAGAAAGATAGGAGAGAAAAACAAAAACAGTGAGAAAGAAAAAAGAACAGAAAGAGAAAACGAAAGAGGAAGACAAAAAGAAGTGAAAAAGAGAGAACAGAGAAAGAAAGAGGTAAAGAAGAAAGAAAAAGAGGGAAAGAGGAGAGAGAAAGCAAGAAACAGGGAGAAAGAGAGAGAAAGAGAGGCATGTTTACGTCACAAAAGGGAAGGAATGACCTACACAATTTTGAAGAGTAATTACTACAAACTGTCACAGAAGGTCCCAATCGCTTATTCTCCGCTGTGTTGTAAACCATCTTTGTTTTTTTGACAGCTTTTAAAAATGTTCCCGGGCGACAAGCGGCATTTCAAAAACCCCATGAGCCAGACCCACACCCACACCCGGAGCAAGTTGCCCTCCACACCTACACACTACTTGCAAAAGGAAAAGAAAAAAAAAAGTCACTTCAGCACCGATGCCCAAAAGAGAAGAGAAAACCTGATTTTTGGCCTTGGCTGTGATTGATTAGACAAGTGGTAAAACACTATTTATTAGCGGATGAGCCAGAGACAGGGCTGAAAGAAATATTTCACATTTTCTCCCACTCAGCGTGAAAGTTTTCAGGTCTCCCGGTCATTTTGCCAGCTCATGCCATCCTAAAGCCTCCAGAAAGGTAAAAATAGCTCAATCAAGACATGGCTTTTCCAGCAAGCGGGCCTGACCTAGGGAGGATTTTATTTAGGGTGATTTTAAAAATAATTTTAAATAGAGACACAGCTTCTAATATTCGGTTTTTTAATCTGGTTTTACAGGGGTTTGTATTTTTATGCTTTGTATTTGTACTGTTTTTAATACGCTGTGCACCGCCCTGAGTCCTGCGGGAGAAG